GCTTAGCGCGATTTCACGTATACGCGGTGCCTCGCCAGAGCCGAACTTTCACTTAACACGGGTTTTTTCCACGTATACGCGCAGTGTCCGGCTCGAGACGCTATTTTTAGATTCGCCCCGCCTGCCTGCCTGCCTGTTTTAGCTCAGAAAATTCATACAAATAACCCGGCCAGAATATAATTTACATTGCTGGAATTCTTACAATCTGATGATCATTTTGAATATAAACATCATAGATTTTGCATTAGACATACAAATTTTAGATATGATGTTTACTCTGAGTAAATATGTTATTTTTTGTGCAAAATATATGACATTTGTATTCAAAATATTCCTGGTCTTACAAGGAATCCAGCAATGTCAATTATGTTATCCTAACTTTAGTTTGAGGTATTATTTATTACTAAAAAGGTAAATATTCTGGTTTTCCCACACATCTGGTAGGGAGGGTTGGTGGGAGGTGAGGGGGAGGGAAGGACTGGCCGACCATCTGTTACGGTGTGAAGAATATATTTTTTTTTTTTATTAACTGAAGATATTTGTTTTAGCTCATAAAATTCATACAAATTACCCGGGCAGAATATAATTTACATTGCTGGAATTCTTACAATTTGATGATCATTTTGAATATAAACATCATAGATTTTGCATTAAACTTAAAAATTTTAGATATGATGTTTACTCTGAGTAAATATGTTATCTTTTGTGCAAAATATATGACATTTATATTCAAAATATTCCTGGTCTTACAAGGAATCCAGCAATGTCAATTATATTATCTTAACTTTAGTTTGAGGTATTATTTATTAAAATTGAGTGGTTTTCCCCCAAAAATTTCTCAGAGAGGGAAGAGCCAGCGAGTGTAGTGTGAGAAGAGGGGGAGGGAGTCGAGTCCATTATTTGAATGGACATTAACTTGGCAACTGTATTTCTCTATTTCTGTTAAGTATTAATTGTGTGCATGTACCATCAAAAAATTAAGATGTTATTTTTACTAGAACATAGGTATTGTGTCGGAAAAAGTAGAGTTTGGGGGTCCGGCCAGTCTCTATTGGAATTAATCCCATATGTTCTGTTGTTCACTTAACGCGGTTTTCACTTTACACGGTACCCTGTGGGTTCAATTGACTGCGTTAAGCAGGGTACTACTGTACTGTATTTTTTACAATTTCCACAGAAATTTTTCAGTGTTAAGTGGTTCTAGAACCAATTAGATTCGTTATAGCATACCCCACTGTACAGTAAAGTTGCCAGCACTCAACTCACACGGCGTTGTTGTCACCCTCCATATACAGTAAAATACTTATTTTTACCTTATTATTTGGCTTGTTATTTAATTTTTATGCAAATTACTAATTATATATAGTATTTTTTCTATTGTAGTAAATTTAATATTCTATATTATCAATGACAAAACATACACCATAAGAGGCTGGTCATACGAGAATATATAAAAATAAATGTTGGAGGGTGTGTGTTGGAGGGTGTGTATGGTGGTGTTGGAGAGTGTGTTGGTGATGTTGGAGTGTGTGTTGGTGATGTTGGAGGGTGTGTGTTGGTGGTGTTGGAGGGTGTGTGTTAGTGGTGTTGTAGGGTGTGTGTTGGTGGTGGTGTAGGGTGTGTGTTGGTGGTGTTGGGAAGGTGCAAGCAGGTGTTGAGGGCAAAGGGTGGTGTTGGAGGTGTGTTAGTGGTGTTGTAGGGTGTGTTGGTGGTGTTGAGGGTGTGTTGGTGGTGTTGGAGGGTGTGTTAGGGGGGTGGTGTTGTAGGTGTGTGTTATGGTGTTGGAGGGTGTGTGTTAGTGGGTGTTGTAGGTGTGTTGGTGGTGTTGTAGGGGTGTGTTGGTGGTGTTGGAGGGTGCAAAGGGTGGTGTTGGAGGGTGTGCTGGTGGAAGGTGTGTGTTGGTGGTGTTGGAAGGTGTGTGTTGGTGGTGTTGGAGGGTGTGTGTTGGTGGTGTTGGAGGGTGTGTGTTGGGTGGTGTTGGAGGGTGTGTGTTGCAGGGTGTGTGTTGGTGGTGTTGGAGGGTGTGTGTTGGAGGGTGTGTTGGTGGTGTTGGAGGATGTTAATGGTCAGGAGGGGGAATTATGATTAATAATGACAGGCTGCTGCGAAGCACAAGTGAACAGCTGATTTGTATGTATATAATGGATTTTCATATACAGTATTACCCCGCCTAACGCGGTTTCACTTAACGCGTTTTATCATATACGCGGTGCCTCGCCAGAGCTGAACTTTCACTTAACACGGATTTTTTCCACATATACGCGGTGAGTGTCTGGCTCGAGACGCTATTTTTAGATTTGCCCCACCCGCCACCCTGCCTGACTGCCTGTTTTAGCTCATAAAATTCATACAAATTACCCGACCAGAATATAATTTACATTGCTGGAATTCTTATAATTTGGTGATCATTTTGAATATAAACATCATATATTTTGCATTAAACATACAATTTTTAGATAAAAAATTTTCTCTAGGTAACTATGTTATCTTTTGTGCAAAATATATGACATTTATATTTAAAATATTCCTGGTCTTACAAGGAATCCAGCAATGTCAATTATATTATCCTAACTTTAGTTTGAGGTATTATTTATTAAAATTTAGTGGTTATCCCACACATCTCCTTGGGACGGTTGGTGGGGGGTGGGGGGGAGGGAGGGACCGACCGACCATCTGTTACCCCGTGAAGAATTATTTTTTTTTTTATTAACTGAAGATATTTGTTTTAGCTCATAAAATTCATACAAATTACCCGGTCAGAATATAATTTACATTGCTGGAATTCTTATAATTTGGTGATCATTTTGAATATAAACATCATATATTTTGCATTAAACATACAATTTTTAGATAAAATTTTTTCTCTAGGTAACTATTTTATCCTTTGTGCAAAATATATGACATTTATATTCAAAATATTCCTGGTCTTACAAGGAATCCAGCAATGTCAATTATATTATCCTAACTTTAATCTGAGGTATTATTTAATACTAAATGTTAAAAACTCTGGAAGGGAGGATTGGTGGGGGGTGGGGAGGGTTGGGACTGACCGCGTGGTTGGAAGAGGGGAGGCAAGGTGGAGTACTTTGATTGACAGATAGTGTTGTGAAGATTATTTTTTTATTAACTGAAGATATTTGTTTAGCTCATAAAATTCATATAAATTACCGGTCAGAATATAATTTACATTGCTGGAATTCTTATAATTTAGGATCATTTTGAATATAAACATCATATATTTTGCATTAAACATACATTAGATAAAAATTTTTCTAGGTAAGTACAGTATGTTATCTTTTGTGCAAAATATATGACATTTATATTCAAAATATTCCTGGTCTTACAAGGAATCCAGCAATGTCAATTATATTATCCTAACTTAGTTTGAGGTATTATTTATTAAAATTTAGTGGTTATCCACACATCTCCTTGGGACGGGTGGTGGGGGGTGGGGGAGGAGGGACCAACCGACCATCTGTTACCCTGTGAAGAATATTTTTTTTTTATTAACTGAAGATATTTGTTTTAGCTCATAAAATTCATAAATTACCCGTTCAGAATATAATTTACATTGCTGGAATTCTTATAATTTGGTGATCATTTTAATATAAACATCATATATTTTGCATTAAACATACAATTTTAGATAAAATTTTTCTCTAGGTAAGTACAGTATGTTATCTTTTGTGCAAAATATATGACATTTATATTCAAAATATTCCTGGTCTTACAAGGAATCCAGCAATGTCAATTGTATTATCCTAACTTCAGTTTGAGGTATTATTTATTAAAATTTAGTGGTTTTCCCCAAAAATTTCTCTGAGAGGGAAGAGCCAGTGAGTGTAGTGTGAGAAGAGGGGAGGGAGTCGAGTCCATTATTTGAATGGACATTAACTTGGCGACTGTATTTCTATTTCTCTTAAGTATTAATTGTGTGCATGTACCATCATAAAATTAAGATGTTATTTTTACTACAACATAGGTATGTGCCTTCAAAAAGGGAGTTTGGGGGTCGGGCCTGGTTTTATTGGAATTAATCCCATATGTTTGTGTTCACTTAACGCGGGACCCTCTGGGTTCAATTGATCAAGTGGGGTACAACTGTACAGGGTATTTTTTTGTCTCGTAAAATAAACATGGGGTCACAATTATTCACTATATTATGAGGAAATCAGTCATATAAAGAATGAGCGTGTCAAGTAAGTTGAATGTTAATGGAAATTTTTTTTAACACGAGGAGAGTGCTGATTGGCTGCAGGAGTACATGGGTATGTCTCTTTGGCAGAGACTTTAAACAAGCATGGCCATTGTCAGTGAGTCCCAAATGCTCTGTCTTTTAACTTCTGCCTTATATTATGGATCATTCTTTTCTTTTTTTCTCGTAAAAAATAACTCTAGGAGAAAACCAAAGATCTCTATAATGAATCAGACATTATGCAGGGTAGAGTAAAATGGGGTATTACTGAAATTATTTGTGATAATTTGGATATGAATGGACCCAAGTCCATAAATTTTGACCAATAAATTTTGACTCAATATATGAACCTAGTCCGAATTAGTCAGTATCCATTAAAGCCAAGTCCATTATAGACAGTGTCCGTTAAATCAAGGGTTTATCTTTATAGATGACACTGTAAGATCGAAGAGGATATTTGAGTCTGTATGCTTTTGAAGTGGTGTATTTTACCTTTATTTATCAATGCAGTATGGCTGATAGATGGATTGATAGAATGAACGGACATAAAATAAAGTGAATGCTTTAATTGGAAAGCCAATAATACAGCCAAAGCCAAAATTAAGGGAGTACTGCATCTATCAGAAAAGACTTGAATTTGGAGGAAAAAAAAGGGTATGATATACAGTAACTTGGACATTATGAAGTGGATATAATACTATAATGCACAATATACTAAAAGAACAGTTACCTTAGAAAGCAAGTTCTTTTTTATACATGCAGGTACCTGTATATGAAGAATTTTTTACTCTTAAATTGATCCCACCTCTAATTCCCTCTTCCATTGTTGAGTAGGTTCTTTGTGTAATGCTACTATCTGCTTAAAAACTCCTGGCAACTTGAAAGAAGGGACAGTTAGTCCTATTTGATGAAGTGCTTGATTCACCTGAAATTAGAGAGTTTATAAGTTAATTTGAAAAATACATACAATTTCAAACTCTAGAATAAAAGAACAAGTCGGTTGAAGAATAATGGAAACAGTGATGAAATTTTAAAATACAGCACTTGGCCAAGGAGGCCCATGCCATCTTTACAGTACATCTAAGTCATGGAATTTAAAGATTATACTGTACGACATTAAGGCATATCATCATCATTGGATATATAATTTATATAAAAGTTGTAATTAAAAGGAAGAATATACCAATAGTAATCAATTCGCAATGCAAAAATCAATCAATCTCATAATCTGATATTGGTACCAAACCCTCCCAATAAAAACCCCTCAACACCACCCTCACCATGCACACCATTAATACATACATACAATGTAGTGTATTGAAAAAAATAAAATAAAAATTTGAGGTTGTGTGTGTAATATCATGTAAATACTGTGGTAGGGAGTTACACGAGTACTGATGGTAATAAATACAATTTGGTGTTAAAAACCATTGTACAGTACAGTACTGTATGCCACTAGTAAAGTGCGGTCCTATTTTGCACGGGAATATCATACTGGTCACATCCACACATCAGAAACCCGCACATGCGATGCCATTTAACTCATGTTATATTCACTATATCGTACTGGACTCGCCAGACCTTTAATCTAAAACGACTTTGGGTAACAGGCACAGACTTCTGAATCTCTGGGTCAGTGGTGCAGACAGCTGATAATATTTTCTCCCGGTATTTCCTGACGGTTCTGATGGTGGATTCATTGACTTTATAATCGCGTGCTACAATGCATATCCTCGCTCCAGCATCTCTTTATTTATTTCTTTTTAATTTGACTTTGGTGGCATATGAGAGGGCCTGCCACTTCCCACTTCTTTTGTCCTGAGGCCCACGGGTGTTCCCATATTGGTCATCCAGGTAGGCGATGGATGGGGTGAAGTACACTACAAGCAGGAGTGAGCAAGAGTACATAATGACGCATGAGTATTCCACCTCTACCTTACACCTGCCACCACCACACTCCCGTCACCACCACTACCTCATACCATCCACCACCACTACCTCACACCACCCACACCACACTCCTGTCGCCACCACCACTACCTCACACCACCTACCACTACACCACCACCACTACCCCACACACCTACCACTACACCACCTACTACTACACCACCACCACTACCACCACCTACCACTACACCACCACCACTACCTCACACCACCTACCACTACACCACCACCGCACTCTCATCACCACCACTACCACACAACCCCTACCACACTCCCATTACCTCACTCCATCGACCACCACACCTCTGCTACCACCACTACCTCACACTCCTGCCACCACCACTACCTCACACCACCCACCACTACCACCCCACACCACACTACTGCCACAGCCACTTCCTTAAACCACCAACTACCACTATCTCATATCACTCACTACCATCACACTCTACCAACCCCACCATCCAACTCCCATCACCACCACTGCCTAATACACACTACCACCAAACTCCTGCCACCACCACCATTGCCTCACACCACCACTATCGAGTGTTTAGACATTAGACTGTCACAGGAAGTTCGACAGTAAGTATGTATATATATATATATATATATATATATATATATATATATATATATATATATATATATATATAGTTGTGTGGTCAATTGAACCCAGAGGTCCGGCGTTAAGTGAACAACAGAACATATGGGATTCAATAGAAACGGCCCGACCCCAAACTCCACTTTTTGAAGGCACATACCTATGTTGTAGTAAAATAACATCATTTATGATGGTACATGCACACAATTAATACTTAGAGAAATAGAGAAATACAGTTGCAAGTTAATGTCCATTCAAATAATGGACTCAACTCCCTCCTCTCACACTACACTGCTGTCTTCCCTCTCAGAAATTTTTGGGGAAAACCACTAAATTTTAATAAATAATACCTCAAACTAAAGTTAGGATAATACAATTGACATTGCTGGTTTGTAAGACCAGGAATATTTTGAATATGTCATATATTTTGCAAAAAGATAACATAGTTACCTAGAGAAAAAATTTTATCTAAAATTTGTATGTTTAATGCAAAATATATGATGTTTATTCAAAATGATCGCAAATTATAAGAATTCCAGCAATGTAAATTATATTCTGACCGGGTAATTTGTATGAATTTTATGAGCTAAAACAAATATCTTCAGTTAATAAAAAAAAAATAATCTTCCGACACTATCTGTCAATCAAAGTTACCCACCTTGCTCCCCCTCTTCCAACGCCGGTCAGTCCCAACCTCCCCACCCCACCAATCCTCCCTTGAGTTTTAACATTTAGTAAATAATACCTCAGATTAAAGTTAGGATAATATAATTGACATTGCTGGATTCCTTATGAGCAGGTTATTTTGAATATAAATGTCATATATTTTGCACAAAAGATAACATAGTTAATTTGAGAAAAAATTTTTATC